GGGGGCAAAACTGAGGGCAGTTACTTGAAAGCACCGAATGCCAAGAAGGCAGTGAAAAATTACAGAACAGTAGAGAAGTAAACGGACTCAGGTAAGCCCAGCATCTCTACTGTTCGCATAGGGGCATCTGCTGATGAGGTAAGCTGAGTAGAGCTTTCGAAAAGACTCACAGGAAAGGGGACAAAAACTGAAGTTCGGGGCTTACCAAGGACAAAGGACGCTGGTAAAGGCCGCTCTGGCTTTGGATTGGGGACACGCTCTGAGAGTAAAGAGTAACTAAAATCAGGAGCTGAAACCAACTTCAAAATCTCAAAGCCCTTTCTCGACTAAGGTGATTCAAGATCCTAAGTATCACTATCACCTTCTGAAAGCAAAACTAAATCGATTCTGAAGGATGACACCAACCTCTGGGAAATAATCTCTGTTCTTTCACATACAATGTCAACACACAAAATAATACCTAGGTGTCCTAGCAGAGAAATCCACACCACGAAAGACGGAGAAACACAGGGCAGCAGATATCCAAATACCACCCACAGACTTTAAAGTGAGTGTTTAATACAAGAAAAGCAGACAAGACAGATTTTTTTCCAGAAAATTAGAAAAAAAAAAAATTTCAAAGTACCAAGTGGATACTCTAGAACTTGAAAAAAAAAAAAAAACCCCAAAACACCAAAACCTACTCAAGATGATAGATAATTCAGTGAATGGATTTTAAAAATTAGACACAGCTTAAGAAAAAAAAAAATAGTAAACTGTAACACGGTTTCAGAAAGAAATATCCAGAATGAAAATGAAGAAAAGGACAGAAAATACCGAATAAAATATGGTTGAAAGTTTTCTAAAACTGGTGAAAATTATTTTTAGGCCATTAAGTTCATGCTGAACAAGTCCACAGCACATAATCATATGTGCTGACATAACCCACATAATCCACGCTGGGGAAACTTAAGACAAACCATTATCTTCAGTAACTTGCAAGGACAAAGGGAGAGGAAACGGAAATCTAAAGATTAAAGAGACTCCAGAACCAGGCCCGTCAACCAGAGTATGTGGACAACAACTGGGTCCTGACTCAAACGAATGTCCTTGGGGAAAACCACTGCGAGATCTGTAAGACAACCTGAACACTAATCGGATGTGATGATACTAAGGAATTATTGTTTTTCCTTGTTCCATTTAGATTTAATAATGGTTTGTGACTTTGTTAGAAAAAGTATCTTCTGGAGAAACAGATTTACAGATGAAATGGTAGAATGACTGAAATTTGCTTCATACGAAAGGGGCAAGTAACAGGGTTATAAATTAAACACAATTTGCCAAAAGTGTTGAAATAAGTGACAGATTCATGCAAATTCATTGTACTTTTCAGTTTACTTTGTTCAAAATTCTCCACAATAAAGTCTTATGGAATTATTAGTACACTTGATCATCTTTACTATTTACGTGCGCATTTTCGTTGCTTCTGTGGCATCTTTGTTTTTGCCTATTACTTATAGATTTGTAGATCTTATGTATTACAAAGATTAGTCCTTTCTCAGTAGTTGCCAGAATTCTTCATTTTGTTTATGGCTGTTTTGTGGCACAGTTTCTATTTTAAAGTAGTCAAATTTATCAATATATTCTTTTATCAGTGCACGTCATACTTGTAAAGACATACTTCCCTACTTCACATTTATAATGTTCATCCACGGTTTCTTTTAGTACTTTCGGATTTCACTTTCTCCACCTCCACATTTAAATCCCAACTCATCTGGAATTTATAAGAGTGAGAATGGGATCAAGCTGCACCCCCCCCATAGCTATCAGCTGTCCCAACACAAATTATCGAATAATCCATGTTTTTACTGATTTGAAATGCTGTGCTTAGGTTACTGAATTCCCACATATATCCTGAATCTGTTTCTGGGCTGTTTCATTGACTTGTCTATCACAAACCAGCAGCACTGTGTTTCACTTACTTATGTCTTATACTGCAGTAAGTTATTTACCAAATTAAAAATTTCTCCTAGCTATTCCTGTATGATTATTCTTTGAGACACTTCTGATGACTTTCACATTTAAAAATCCTTATAGGATTTTAATTGATTGCATCATTATTAATTGATAAATATGAGTAAAACTGTTACCTTTATACGAAGCCTTTCTATACAAGAACAAAAATCATTTTTTCCAGTAATTCAAACCTCTCGTATCTCTTAGTAAGCAGGGTGTCTTCATTTACGGTGTCTGGTACATAGTAAACATGGTTACTGAATGAATGACCCTACTGAGCCAGTATTTGGGGATTAAGTATCATTATTAGAGAAGTCTGAAAACTTTAAGAAATCAGTGGAGCTTATAAACAGAATACCTTTTGGATGTTACAGAAAAAAATTCCTAATTAAAACGTTTAATCACTATATTTTTCGTACACCTGTACAAAAATTTGCATGGATATTCAGAATGACCCTAAGTACAATTCCCAGGTATTCTCAGAAACATAACAAATACACACCCATAATTTAATATTCATTTATCATAACAAGTCTCTCTTAAATCCTACTCATTTGAAAATTAACGGTTCAAATGGGTAGATAGAAGAAGGAAATCATTAGGTTAAAAAACAAGCTAACAGATTATTGCATTAAATTAGGAAATGTAATTGAGACATGAATTAAGCTAATGGCAACAGGAATAGAAAAAGATTAACCAAGCAAAGGGGAAAAAAACAGAGCCTAAAAGGTCCCAGGCTTTGGGCTGTGGTGGCAGAGAATAATGGCACTAACCACAGAAAAAGGCAAATTATGAGGTTAAGTCAATTTTAAGGAAGAAGATCATTTTAACTTAATGCAAGCTGCACTGGAGGTGAGGACACGGGACACAAAGCCCAGTGCACAATCAAGATCAAGTATGAACAGGCGGGACTACAACGACTGGTCTTGTCATATGCCCAGAAGGGATGATGAAGCTATGGAAATCAGTGTTACCTGAAAACTGTTTATCTGAACCCATCTTACTGGTTAACAAAGATAAGCGAAGTGCTACTGCTCACCATTAATACAAATGTAGTTACTTCTTTAAAAAAAAAAAAAAAAAGGGGGGTAAATGATGGGGTGCCTGGGTGGCTCAGTCGGTTAAGCGTCTGCCTCCTGCTCAGGGTCTGGAGATCAAGTCCGCATCTGGCTCCCTGCTCAGGGGGGGCCCTCTCTCCCTCTGCCCCTACCCCTACTCGTGTGTTAGCTCTCTCTCTCTCTCTCTCTCTCTCTCTCTCTCAAATAATCTTTATTAAAAAAAGGTGCATGAAGAAAAATTAAAAAATAAATAAAAATTAAAAAGGTGAATGAGTCAAATATAAAAATATGCAAAAGGTATTATGGTTCTCTTTTCAAAAAACTCAATTTCAAAAAACACAAAGTTAAAGGAAACCAGTCAATATTGATAACTGAATTTTATAATCAGTAATGCCAAGAAATCAAGCAGGGAACTCCAAAAATGTTTACTGTTGGGGTCTATTACAGAATGGGAAAGAAGGGGATATGAAGGGACATTATCGCATAAATCATTAACAAACAGCCCTTCTAAATCACCAAAATTGTTAATGAAGAATAGCAAGGTGAAGCTTGGCTCAAATTTGGCATCCTTTCAGACTCTCTTTTTTTCCCCCTTTGTTTGGTTAAATTTTTCTATTTCTGTTGCCATTAGCTTAGTTCATGTCTTGATTACCTCTCCTAATTTAGGTGAAGCTTGTGCAAGTTTTATATTGATATGTGTATTTATAGATTTACGATAAATTTTTTTTAAGATTTTTTATTTATTTGAGAGAGAGAGAATGGGATAGAGAGAGAATAAGAGGTCAGAGGGAGAAAGAGACTCTGCTGAGCAGGGAGCCAAATGTGGGACTCGATCCCAGGACTCTAGGATCATGACTGAGCCAAAGGCATTTGCTTATCCAACTGAGCCATCCAGGCATCCTACAATACACATGTTAGATGGAATAAAAAAACAAAAAAAAACACAGGCTTTGAGTTTCAAATTCCATCTCACGACACCTGTCAGCTTCATAATCCATCTTTTACTATTAATTTTTCGGGCAGAGAACACATCAATGTGTTATTTTACACCACTCTCTAAGTCCATGCGTAAACTCAGCAAAGATTCATTAAAACTCTAATCATTAAAACGCATTATTTTAAGCCAAATACCAGTAATTTTGTAACAGGAAAAGTTTCAAAAATGTAAGACTTTCACCATACCTAACAATTTAGCAAGTTAAAGAATTTTGGTAACCCAAAATATAACAGAGACCTGATTTGTAATCTTGTCATTAATTTGAAGCTATTTTATTTGACAGCATTCCATCACAGTAAGTTTTCAATCTATAACCTATATTTTTTGTTAATTTTGCCTTGGCCTATTCCAAATTAGGTATTTTGCCATGCTATACTGGCTTCAAAGTAGAACATTTATTATTAAAGGTGAATCTTTCCAATACCCTCTTTTAAAATGCTTTAGCTCTATGTGCTAACAGCTTCGAAACTTTACCACAGGGGGAGGATAAGTTTAAGTGCATTTATCTAAGAGTGGACAGAGAAAGTGAATAATGCCTTTAATCTAGCTTTGACTCCACTGAGTTCTTACAGGTGGGTGGGATACACATACCACAGATGACATATGAACAGTATATTTTTAAATAACTTGTGGTGATTTTACACATCCTATATTATACATATTACAGATTAAAGATCCTATATAAAATAGACATTTTCTGGGAGTTGTTCCATGGGAATTCCAGAGGAACGTTGTAATGTTTATATTCTTTGGACTATGTATCCCAAGTAACTGAACTCTGCATGAAACCAAAATAAGCCTTTCAAGTATTTAAAATAAATTTTCCAACATCATCCCGAGGTGAAAAGTGATTTTTGGTTATACTTTCATTCCAAGTATATATTGCAAAGAATTTTTCATTAATAAGGTTTTACATGAAATTGTGTGTCAGGACCTGATATTTCCTGATAACTTTAAAAACTACTTAAACCTTACTTCCTTATTAAATATTAAGAAGAAAAACTCCTCTGAGGTATATGGGGGTCAGCTTCTGGACCTTCACGGAAAACTGAACAGCCAAATTTTATCTGACTTAATGATGAGAGCCATGGAACTCAAACTTGCAAAAAAGGAGCAGTGATCTAAAACTACTGGGTATGAACAGATGAATCATCTAAAAGCACTGCCTTAATTTTTATTATTTTTACACAAAAACCTTCAGTAGCTTACCACTGAAAACACACTCAACTTCCTTAAATTGCCATTGGCAGTCCTTCGTGATCTCACCCAACCTTAACTCTTTTGAGCATCCCGGGAAAAACTGCATCCCAACCCACCCAAACTGCCAGTTCTCCAAATACTCCTCCCTCTTCCTGACTCCTCCTCGGGCTGTCCTGTGATTTCCCAAACAATAAGCCCTATGCCCTTCTCTTGTCTACCTGTACTTTCAAGATCTACCTGAGCCATTCATCAGTGAGGCTGATCATCTCAGGCAAAAATGATTTATTTGTTTCTACGGTGTTCTGAACGTTGCACTCCTACAAGGTTTCCCGAAGGGACTGAACGGAGACTGAGGACAGCTACTCACCAACCGAATGCCAGACTCTGGCAAGTGCAAAGTTGCCACATGGGCAAGCTGTGACTGCTTGGTTGCTCTTCCTGATGGCTTTGCTGCGATGTTCCCTGTGCTGGCTTAAAAGACACAGGCAAATGTAGCTTTTCCCTACTGTGGCACCAGCAGGCTGTAAGGAATTGAACAGAGCTGTACTTTAAAGGCCAAGGAATTTCTAGGAACATGACATAACTTGAGACAATTCTAATTCTGTTCTCACCTGACTATAGTCCCTGAGCAAAAGGAAGAAGGGGCTCGTAGTAATGACAGCAGGAAGTCCTACTTCGACTGTATTTTCTCTTCTCCTCTATGATCCCTAGAGATTTGTGAATGGAGAGATTACAGATTTTTTTCCTAGAATGCCTCTGGCCAATTCTCTAATTTCCTAAGGACTGGAACTATACCAGTGGACCATAAAATCCGGAACGAAGTAGAAGTGAAATCGATCTGATCTAGGTAGGCTCATATCCAAATTCTTTCACATACTTAGCAAAAGTTAGATGAAGGCAACCCAATGGAAGCTGAGTAACAAATAGCTAGAAAAGAAACACCCTGAACAAAACTTCTTCCTGACCTTATCACTACAATCAGTTTTAAGACGTGGCAATGACAAGTGCAGATTATCTCTAATATGCAATAAAAACCACGTTTTAAGAATTTGGGAGATGATACAAAGAACTTATGAGAAAACATTAAATTTGCTTGTAGTCTATGTTCAGTTGACTTCAACGAAACTTTAGATTAAAAGATCTTTGTAGATTAAAATTCATCACATAATTTAATCTCAGCCTGAAAAGAAACACAAACCTACAGTGCCCAAGTTGTTGTATAGATTATTAAAAAAAAAAAAAAAAAGCCAAAACACACTTTATGTGCCTAAATGATCATTTTAGGCTTAACACCAACCTAAAAAAGAAAACGTCCAATCAAATATCTGGGATCGTTTCATTTAGAAACTCTAACGTAATTATGCTTTTTAAACCTCTTTTCAATTCCTAGTACAGATTCTAGCCCAAAAGAATCAACCTAACTGAAGAACAAATGAAAAATGGCTTTTCAAAGAACTGTATAAAAGAACGTTGCTACTTGTCTGTATAAAAGCACGCCATACATATATGCAAGAATACGGCTATTTGTCTGCTGGTTTCGGATGTAAAATCGAAACAGCAGAGCCACATGAGCACTCTGAGAACCCCGCTGCTTCATAACAATTCTATTAGTGAGCCCCCCAAAATAATCCCAAGCAGAGCTCGTTAGTTTCTGACCTAAACTGTAAATCTCAATTCTGAGTAGCAAGAATAACTTACATATCACAAAAAATAAAAAATAAAAGTAACACATTTAATGTGTCAGACTCTTGACCTAGCACTTTCCTATGCACCTCATGTAATTGTCAACAAAAATCTGAGAAGCAGGCACTATTATTGTCCCCCTCTTACAGAGAAAACAATGGGGGGCCCTGAGAGGCTGAGTAATTTACCGGGAAGCCAGTCTGGCTCAAGTCCCCTGTTTTCAAGCACTACTCTGCTGGCTTCTAAACCTGAAAGTCCACAGGGAATGTATGGAAATTATATTTCAATACATATCTGCTTTGAACAGGAAGAAAGGAGGTTTCAAAAAATAAGAAAAAGAATACTGCAAATATCATATAGTAGAAACAGGGTTTTATTTTTGAAAACAGAAAAAGTACCTAACATTCTAGAATACAATGTACCAATATTTTTATGTATCTGGCTTAGAATACCGTGAATGTACTGAAGTATCCGCACTCCTATCTTTTAAAAACATGAACCTTTTTGGAAACCTGCTTTAATTTATATATGAAATAAAACAGGAAAACCTGTTTTAATTTATATGTGAATAAGAATACTTTGAAGAATATAGAACTACATACTAAAGGGTAATAGCAAATTCTGAAGCTTTATTAAATTCAATGACTACATATGTACATACCCAAAGTCCTTTTAAATGATTTCCATCCGGGGCCTAATGTTGATATCAATAATGGTTTGATTCTAAAACTGATTTTTTACCTCTTGCTTTGTATAGTTTATCTAAAGAGCATTCCAATCCTCTGTCACCCATTCCTTGTGGCGGACGTTCTAGGTGCTGATGGATCTGAGGCTTATCAGGCTGAAAGCTCCCAGAACTTCAGATGAGGAGGAGGCCCAGTGAGAAGATCATGAAAAGGGACATCGGATGACAGTGGGCATCTATGAGTGTTTCACACCCGTTCTTCCAGGCGCCCCAAAGTGCATGTTCTCGGGGAAAACCAGTTCTTAAAGCAAAGGAGGAGCCACTATGCCTGAGTACTAACTGTTCTTTTCCCATTGGTGTTTGTGTCATTTTCTGGACTGCTACTTTTTATGGATTCCAGCAAATTTTTAATTCTTTCACTTGCAGGCTTCTTCCTTTTCTTCTTAGCAAGAGACACACTCTTTACCACCGAAGGAAGCAGCAGCGTTGCCAGCCCCCAGGGCCGATTACCTGATGGGGAAGGGCGATCTTTATCTTCCTGACTTAAAATCCAGGCACTTTCTCTGGCCAGATCTACAAATTTTTGTAGCTGGCTTTGATTTACATTTTTGCTGATGTTAAGAGAAGTTTCAAAAGGATTCTGAATATGCAGGGGAGAAGACTCAGGTTTGTTTTGTTCCCTTCCCTGCAGATTATTATAAAGAAGAAAAAATGTATAAATATATGAAAGGCTCAGCTCTAAGAACAATTTAGTCTAATAAAATGTCAAAATCAGGGAAAATCCCAGCATTTACTTTACAGAGTAAAGAACTGCTTTCCTAAGAGAACTGGGTATGTGTGCATGTCGTGTGTGTGTGTGTGTGTGTGTGTGTGTGTACTTCTGACTGGGTTTTTTTACCACTGTAGTTCTGTGATTTTTCTTTAGAGAAATATAAATTAGGTTTATAGCTATGGATGATGATGCTCAGATGGGAGTTATCTAGACTAACTCAATCAACAGAAGTATTTTTAAAGTATCAACTGACCTAAGAGGATAAAGCAAGGAAGGGGAAAAAAGTGAAAAATAGCAGAAAATAAAATGAAGATACACTTATTTTTGAGACTTGCTAAAAACAAACAGAAGCACACAAAATTAGAATATCCTTAAATTAAATACAGTAATTAACGTTTCCCAAGAATAAAGTCAGAAAGGAAGAGAAGGAACAAAAGGTTATTCTTTATTCATTATAAAACACTGCAAGTTTTCTATTATATGCCTAAAGATCCAACTTCTATAAGCCGCTGACAGGTAAGGCCACATCCCATAGAAATAAAAGAAAAGCTAAAGCTGTGATTCATCCGACCAGCAGTGATGCATTAGTATATGTAACCTTCTCTTTCAAATGATATCACACATATTACTAAAATAGTAACAAAACACAGGGCCACGATTCTCCAATGTGAGCAGCACCTCTTTATTCCCTAACTGCTCTCAAGCCCTGCCCAGCAGGGGTCCTGCCTATCCATCACCCCTGAGGCCCAGGGGTCAGAGGACAAAAAGGATAAAGAACTTCATGTGATCAGTCACCTTCCTCTCATATGGAATCTAAGCCATAAGAGCTTGCATTACAGAGCTCTGTGTCCCCTCCTTCTCCGTTCCCCACACTTTTCTGTTGTTGTTGCTGTTAAACAAAATCTCCATAAGCAGGATAAGAGGCAAGAATGAAAAAAGGAAGAGGTAAATAAAACAACAAAAGAGAGTATCTGATTATATGTTTTATGTAGCCAATCTTACAATGGTTGTAACCGAGTAACCAAATGCTAAACAGAATAAACCCAAACAAAGAGCTACCTCAAGTATCCCTCATTTGGTAAAAAATTTTGCCTAGGATTCTGCTCTGGATTTTCTTTAAAAAAAAAAAAAAAGTCTCTTATTCCAGCTACTCATATGAATCCAAACCATAAATTCATTTGCCCAAATAAATTTAGAGCTCAAATTGAGACAATCACTAAAATCAAAATGGCTGGGTATCCTACTTCTTCCATGAACACAAAAGCAGTTTAATAAGAAGTGTATATAAAATTATCTTTTCCAGAAGATTTTTCAGAATAATTCCAGAATAATTCAGAATATATTCCACATTTTGAAGGAGGCAGTATTAGATGCTGAAAGAGCTGGGTTTTGCTCTTCCAAATAACTAGATGAATGATCTTACATAGCTCCTTTAGGCATCGATTTCCTTATTAGTATCTCTTACTGTGGAGCTGAAATATAATAACATGTTAGAGTGCTTTGAAAACTAATTAAACACTAGTACAGCAGAAGACCATTTAGTCATTAAATATTAAAATATTATTTACCTGTCGAATATTTATGGAATTTTTATTGAAAGCGAAATTGCCAAAATATTCAAAAAATTCTTTCAGTAGTGATTCTGTAAGAAAAATAAAACAAGGAAAATAAGAGGAAGGTCTATTTCAATTAAAAACAAAGAAAAAGGGAAAAAAAACACCTACCTAGTGTTTCTGTGTTTCCTGAAGGTTTAATTCTATTCAAGTCACTAATAAAAGTACAGTTGTGGCCTTCTATTATGCATTTATCTTCTGCACCTTCAAAAAACAGAAATGGAAAATTTTCACATTTCAAAGATATTGTCTACTTCAGAAAAGGATTCGATAATTAACTAAATTGAAGTTACAGATTAATGTATCCTATTATTAGTGTTATACATATTTACACTGAATAGGATTTAAAACTCCTTACCAAAAAGATTTGAGACTAATTACAGTACAGTGAAATTAGCATTAATTTTTTTTTAGCATACTGAAGTTGTCTATCAACAACACAACAATTCTTTTTTTTTTTTTTTTTTTAAGATTTTATTTATTTGACAGACAGAGAGCACAAGTAGGCAGAGAGGCAGGCAGGGGGGGGGGAAGCAGGCTCCCTCCTGAGCAGAGATCCTGATTCGGGGCTCGATCCCAGGACACGGGGATCATGACCTAAGCTGAAAGCAGAGGCTCAACCCACTGAGCCACCCAGGTGCCCCCAACCCAAAGATTCTTAATCTATCTTTTGAGGTCATCAGTTTTTCAGTTATAAACGAAAATGTAGATAGCTCCCATCCTTCACCAACTCAAATGTTGGCACTATCTTTGATCAAAATATTGAATTTCCTCTCCATTTCTATCTTCATCACCCCTTCATGCATATATTTGCAACAACGACACAAACTGAATGGTCTAAGAGTTTTGAAGAACTTCTGGTGATTTCTAAAATGCAGTATTCTGGCAAAACTAGAATTCACAACCACAAAGTAAACAGCACCCTAGATTTAAGCATTCACCTCTTCTTATAGTATCTGTATATTCAGAAGGATTCATCCCCTTCATGATAAATATACAGCCAGCATGAAATTCCTCGCCCATTCTAACCTACCTTCCACTGCACAGTAAGCAGGCAAATTCTCACTCTTCGAAAATCGGATCAACAGCCACCTCATCTGAAAGCATTTCCCAACTCCAAGTCGGCCATCCTCCGTTAGTTATTTCACACTCCATGAGCACTTAACTGACTGTCCTGTGATTATGTATGCATGCTGCCCACGCCCCTACTCCAGTCTGGGATTACAAATGTTGCTGTCCCATTCGCTATTCCCCCTCTCCACATCCAGTCTAACCACAAATGTCTAGCATACAGCAGGCACATAACCAGTAACCTGAATGATATTTTGAAGGGATTAAATATAGAAATCAGAAAGAGATAGATAAGGGTCCTTCAAATTTTTGTCTCCCCTTTTATTGGTCATTTTTTGTATTTTTCTTCTAGCAGAACTATTAAGAGGTCCAAATGTTCCAGTATGCCAAGACAGTATGTAAGACCTGGTCACTAATAGAATTTCTCAAGTTACTCTAGATCCTAACATATTAATTTTATGTATTTTTTAAAAAGATTTACTTATTTAGAGAGGGAGAGAAAGAACATGCACATGATGAGAGGCAGGGGGAGAGGGAAAGGGGAAGCAGCCTCTGCACTGAGCAAAGAGCCTGATGTGGGGCTCAATCCCAGGACCGTGAGATCACCTGAGAGGAAAGAAAGAGTCGGATGCTTCAGTAACTGAGCTATCCAGGCACCCCATATATTTATTTTAATAGCATATTTTATGTCCTCTATTACATTACTTAAAGTACCCTGAAGAACTTATACTCGGTTATACTTAGATCTATTTTCCTTTAAAGATTTTATTTATTTGAGAGAAGGAGAGAGAGAGAGAGAGAATGTGTACAAGAGAGCATATGCATGAACGGGGGCGGGGGGGGGGGGGTTACGGGTCGGGGAAGAGGGACAACCTTGATTTCTGACCATGGAGCCTGATGCTCTGCTCAATCCCAGGACCCTGAGATCATGACCTGAGCCGAAGTCAGATGCTTAACCGTCTGAGCCACCAAGGCATTCCACACTTAGATCTATTTTTTATGGGACCCAGGCACATGTTTTACTCTTTCAAATTATCGACAGTTATATTTCTTGTGACATAGTGACAGTCACATATATTGATGCTCTTTTAGCTGTTTGTCCTTTTTCAGGAAGGTATTTCCAATTAAAGCATTATAGAAAAATGAGCTCCACATCAAAACATTTCAAGAACTGTACAATAATGAAAAACCGAGACTGTCTCTGTGACCGCTACTTTTCACTAAAAGGGTTAACAGAGTGTATTAAAACTTGAAGGACAAAAAAAGTATCCTCTAATTTAAGATAGGGTCATCTTTGTTTTTTCAAAATTCCTAAAGCATTCAAACCTAGCAGCTTGGCTGTCAAGTCTTTCCCCTCCTATCGTCTCTGCCCCATTTATCTACTGTAACACCTAGACAACATGCACACAATCCAATATAATAGCCACCAGCCACATGTGGCTATTAAAATAAAAAATTCACTTCCTTGACCACACAAATCATACTTCAAGTGCCTAAGAGCCACAAGTGACCAGTGCCTACCCTCCTATGTACAATATGGATCTGAAACATGTCTATCATCACAGAAAGTTCTACTGGATAGTACTGCAATAGAAAAATGATTCCCAACCTATTCAGACATGAACCGTATCACTATTAGTTTAAACCTGTGGTACTCTTTTCTTAAAAGTATTGTATAACATAGTGACAAAAACTTCTAAGTAAATACAAACTCCCGGTCATGAGGAAAAGAGCCAGGTAAGCACCTTAATTAACCTATATTAGGAGCTTGATGACACATTCCCCCACCTTCACCTTAAGTGAGCTTAGAAACTATGAAAAAATAAGGTTATGTATTTACTAAATATGATTTCCTCGCTTCTTTTGGAAACCTCAGAGCCTCATGGATTGGAACATCCACAACTCTTTTTCAGCACAGTATACATGACAAATGAAATGCACTGAGTAATGTTCCCAGAGACATAGCTACATTGATAACTTACCCACAGTCTTCCAGGCAATTAATATCCACATTATAGGAATTGATAATTAGTAACAGGGATCACTCCTGGCATTCTTAATAGATTACTGAGGGGCTGCAGCACAGATAATCATGTCTACAGTCTGTATAATTATTTTGTTAATCTTTCTGGTCAAAAGAACAAAATCTATACTGTGCCAGCTACATGTATTTCTAGTAAGTCACCTGAAGTTGACAGGCACATATGTAAGGGGCGTAACAGGAATAAAGTTCATTTGAAGGCTTACTATTTTTTTCTTTGATAACAAATCTTTTGTGTTGTCCCATTTTTGTAAGAGGAGCTTACTGGAACAAAGCTTGAAGAGCTAAAAATTGTAACTATATTCAGCTTCTAGCAGAACTATTAAGAGGTACAAACGTTCCAGTATGCCATGGATCAGCAATAATTAAATGGGAGAAGCCAACAGGTGATCCGTGCTGTATAATTAATGCAGACAGTTTAACACGAGGGGGCGGAGGTGCTATTCACTTAGTCACATCGCCGTTTTGTTTCCTAACCTGTGCAGCCAGAATGCTTTCCGAAATGCCCATCCAGGCAACTGCCTCTCAAGCACTTGGACCTAACCTTGTGAAGAATGTGTTATGGTGATATCTGTGTTATCGAAGGAGCTTTGTTTATTGCCTCGTAGCTCACTCAACTCCAGAATGTGACTCAGATACTATTCTTCACACACGCACATCTATATACAGATCGTTCCCTATTAATCACTCACGCTCATCAACGCACAGGGTAAAGTTTTACCTGCTTATCCCACCATGCCATATGCTCCACTAACACTCGGCCTCTCCAGGAGGGAGCCAATATTCTGATTAAGAGCACATAATATGGGGTAAAGATGATGAAAGGAACACAAGCGTCTATCTTTCTCCCCCTCCCCAAACACCAATGAAATGACACTAAAATGACATAAAATCTTAAAGATGGAGAACAGAAGAAATATGAACCAAAAACTTTTCAGTTTTAGAACAGATGGACAAGCAGCAAAGACTTAGGAGATCTGAAAAGACTGAATACTGAACTAGCAGTAAAGAAAGCCAAGAAAAAACCCGATCTATGAGGCAGAGCTCCCAACAACTCAGGAGCTGTGAGTACCAGGGCTAACTGGTAGCACCAAGACTGGGAGCCTGATGGCTGAGAAAGCAGTTAGACTCCCCCAGATCTCCTCCTCCTGGAAAGAAAACCTTAGGCTTACTTTGGACAGGGTAAAAGAAAGGATATCTATACACAGGAAGACAGGAGACACAGATGAGGGTAGGAACAATGTTCTAAAAGGAACAGTAAGTAAACAAAAGCGTAGTCAATGTCTACGTGACAGCATGCTAGTATCAGGGTCTTTTCTTCCAGAAAAATAAGAGTCATTTCTGGGGAATCTGAATAGCTCAAGAGGAATGACCCAGACAGTGACATAAAGCACCCTGAGATGATGACCTGAACCGAAGGCAGAGGCTTTAACCCACTGAGCCACCCAGGCACCCCATCAACTGGACTTTTTAGTTCCTAACTCAAACATAAGCAGAAAATCAAAGACTACCAAACACCTGAGGAAAGCCTCTAACATGACACTAAACTTAAAATGAAAAATGAATAAAATGAAAAAAAAATTAGAAAAACAGAAGCTACATAAGGAAGAATTAATTAATAGAACATTTGATGACTGTTTTGACAAAAGATTTTAGACAACTAGTAGCAAGCTGGAGATTCCAGTAATGTTAAGTACATGAAAAACTAAGCAAACAAGAAAATAAGGAATATTAAAAACTATTAATTCCAAAGAACAGAAAAAGTTGGGCAGGAATGAAAATTAATTTTAGTTTACTCCATGGATTAGACAGGAACAGCATTTACACAGTCATAAAAGTATAAAGAGTGCATAGCAAAATTAAGCCATAGCCATATTCAGAATATGAGGCATGGAAGAGACGTGTGTATAGTGAGGAAAAAAGGTAATTCCTCTTCTTCCATAAAGGGAAGTTATACATACTGCCTAAAACTAAAAATCAAGAAACATGGTCTTCATTTTGCAACATATACAAATACCGAATCATCACACTCTATTACCTAAAACCCATATAAAGTTGTATATGCCAATTATACTCCCTAGTTAAATAGAGA